GTAATAATAAAAAAAGCCTTAAAATTCTGATCCTATTATAGTGTTGGAACATACCCAAACTGCTACCATAATCTCTGAAATGTTACTGTTCTCTGATTTAGGTGTCTGTGTCAAGAATAAAAATGAAGTATAACTGGTAGCAGTAGACTATTTCCTAAATGTAATTTAGTATTCACTAAGCACCAGCACTTTGCAAATAGCTCTGAGGCTTTCCTTCAAAGTTCAGAGCTCTAGTTATGCATATTGTGTGAGGTACACCATGCAGCTCACCTCCAGCCTCTGTTGTGCTGAATAGATGGCTATGATAAATCATGCTGATTTGGCACTGAAGGGCATCAGCCATCAAGGATTTGACTACTACGTCTTTTTTTCCCTGAGATTATATCTCCTTGAACTGCCTGCCCTGGGCTACTAGTTTTGGAGAAAATTAAAAAGTGGAAAAAATGCTAGGGGAGGCCAGTACAGAAAGTCTATATAGACTCAGATCTCTGGAAACCCATTAACACCAGTCACAAGACTGGCAAAGAAAATACTGGTGGCTGTTTAAAAGTCAGGCCAAGCCATTTTACGCAAGATCTGGTAATTCATTAATCAATCTGGCTGCAAACCTTGAATAAATAACCTGGAAATAGTGAAGGAAACTGGCAGCACCACAGAACATGAGAGAGTTTATAATTTGAACCAATGCATGTTACCCTGGTGATGTTTAAGGCTTCCCTCTACCTTCATCAACTTCCTGATGCAACCCTTTCCAAATAAATAAGGAATCATTTATCTCCATGAATTTCCCTGCTCCCAGGGCATTTCATTGTGCACCTCCTTTTTTCTTCACATTCTTATTGCTTGTAATACAGCATTTTTTGGCAGCCTACAATAAAACATAGTAGCCTATTTAGGCTTTCCACACACACAGCACATAGCATGGTCTTGAAAAGTAACCTGGCCTACACCTATGCAAAACAATTGAAAATAAAGTCATCAAATAAGTGGAGCATCTCTCTGGAACACTGAGTTATGTAAATAGCTTAAATTAATGGAAGGGCAAGTAATTTGTATTTTCTGAAGTATTTTTAAAGGCTAAAAAAAGGGGTTTGTCAAGTATGAGAATGTCACACAAATCTTTATGATTTTACACAAGTTCATTATACTTTAACAGGTTATTGCCCATCTATGGGCTGCATTTTCTATTAACATCAGTTGAGTTATTTGTAAGCAATGCCAACAAAGAGAGATATCCACTGCAGATACCTTCTCTCTTCATAATGCTAGGCATGGGTCATAAATAACTTTGAATATGACTACTCTTACATGATAGGGTACAGCATGTTTGAAGAAGCCTCAGGGGACAACAGTTTTCACAAACAAAAAGCCCTCTCACTGGTCCCACATTGAGCTGTATAGTTGTTCCCATTTTCACACAGCATTGGCTTTTAGCATGAAAAACTAAACATTCTAATTTTCTAAAAGTAGCCAAATAAACTTTTTGCAAATGTCATTTTTTAAACTGTAGTTCTTCATAAAACCAAATATTGAAAGTGAATGATGCAGTGAGCCACCTAAATAACTGGTCTTGGGTGACTTGTTAACTATTTACTTGCATGGACATGTGTTAATTTTCAGTGCCCTGAGGGGCAAGGCATTTTATCTTTCCAGTAGTCAGAACAATGGACAAAGAAAACCAGGTGAAAACCAGAAGGGATCAAGCTGTGAATAGAAAGAAAATAACTAATTCATAATATGCATATGAACACAGGGTGATAAGAAGAGCCTCCAGGCTGGGGCAGACTGTACAGGCTTGATTCAGGACTAGTATCAGCTACACTGGCAGGCAAGTAGAGTAACACAGTGATCAATCAGGTGTGTCTACAAGACACTGATGTGTTTTAACACTAAGCGAAGGCCAGGGTCACATCACACCTAAGCAGATAAGAGCAGGGATTTATACTCAACAGTTATATACTATCTAGACTAATTGCACCTTTACCTTGCTTGGCTCATGCTTGCTACCATAACTATTAATAATTTCTAGTTTGTGAGACTCCCAGTGCCACTGCTTGTGGGTGCTCTGCTCAAGTGAGTTTCCAGTTTCATAGTCTGAAGGAAGCCTGAAAATTCACTTTCTGAAATAGAGGTTGTTATTTAAAAACATGCGCCAGCTTGAGACATACAGGAGCATCCAGACAATGTCGCATGTACTGTATTAATACCTCAAAAGAGAGGGTGCTTCATTCAGGGTTAGGTTTGGCAGTTAACACTGTACAGCTCATGCAATTAAGGCTGCTCTTGTACTTCCCAACATTTGTTTGTGATTCTGGTTTTTCCCTTCCACCCCAAACAGTTTGTACATCTACTTTTGTAAGACAAAGCCTCATCTGGAAGCTTAAGTTGGATAAAATATGCTACTCCCATGAAGAAATGAGAGATAAAAAAAGGGAAAAAAAAAAAAAGGGAAAAAAAAAAAAAAAAGAAGTTATTTTCTTTAAGAAGAAAAGCCAATGCAGATCAATATGGGAAAATCTAGAGATTACAAAATGGGAAAGACTTCCATTCTCTCAGCTAAAACAAACAGTTCTTCGCAGAGTATGTGAGATAGTCTCTGGAGGAAGAAGACATCTTCTTCTGTTCTTGAGCACCCCCAGTCGTCACATTACAGAGCAGCAGAGGCAAGAAATAGTGCAAGGTATCCAGCTGCACGGTGGAGAATGGGGACAGGGTTAATATATGGGAGGAGGAAATAACTGTTTCATTCCCATCTTCCTAGGCCAAGCAACTGAGAAATGTAAATATAACACACTATGAAGCTGAAAATAATCTAATTTTGTACTGCAGTATTGCAAAATACTATTAGAGCACAATTTGTCCCTACAGGTAAGTATGGGCCAAGCTGTGCTGTCAGAGACAGCGATGCAGCCTGCAACTGAAGCCGATGAGTGTGAGGAAATCAAGGTGTTTGAAAAGAGGACAACAGAATTTACCCATTAGGAAAGAAGCAGCATATTTCATTTTAAACTATTATTTCTGACCTATTAGTTGCTGCCTAAATCCATTTGCCCAGCTGCATACCATTTATTTGTTCACACCGAGGCTGCTCATCCTCAGACGTTCCCAAATGTTCCTGTGAGAAGTTATACTGGTGTCTCATGTCACCAGCTCGCCATAAGGTCTTGTATTTGCAACAAGCTTTGATTTTATGAACAGGAATTGTCTCGTATAAGAAGTGACAATTCCTATACAAGGCATGCAGGGGAATCACCAGTACCTATCTGAGACAATTTTGTACTTGGCAGCTGAGGCCAGCAGTTAAGACAGGCAGTTACACACAGGGCAAACAGTGAGCCTTTGGTTAAGTTCCACTGGTTTTACTGGAACAATCTGTGATCTTAAGAGTTGATAGAAGCTTAATTACGTTACTTATCTGGAATATACACTTTGAAAGTGTACATCTCCGACTGATTTTTCCAAAAAGAAAATGTCTCTGCATTTGGCTTTAGATGAATGATGAAAACCACATCTACTTGGCTATAAAAAAAGGCAACGTCACTTTCTACCATGCTAGCTGCAAGTGTGTCCCCTGCCCGCCCCCGCCTCCCTGCTACTGACCATCCAGAACTACACACCAACACGCCCTGCCCAAGGCAGTACAACTGCAATTCAAGAACAAGACAGGGTTTGGAAACTTTGTAAAACAAGGCCTGGAACATTGTACAACTAATGAAAAAACAGAGTGCGTAAGCACATGGCTTTGCAGGGATAATTTCATTCTGATTTGAATAAAATGAATTCCAAGGTACTTAGGTGTAAATGATAGAAACTACTAGACAGGACTATCAGTTACACTGGTATAAATCCAGAGTAACTTCATCTGCATCTGGGAGATCACCATGGTTTTAGAGCTATACATAAAAAAAAGAAGAATTTCATTCAGGACATCTCACGTATGCATTTTACTGTGTTGTTTCAGTAAAGCTTTTCCAGCCTTTAAACTCCACTGGGACAATTTGGGGCTTCACCAAGCAATGGGCCAGCAGTATTTCCTGGAGTTGCAGTATCTGCCATGTGAGAGGCAGCACCTGTAGCTTGCTCTTGCACAAGGTATTCCTCCCAGCTAATCAATTTATTGTCCAATTTCTCAGTCAGTGGAAGTTTTATGGCATCTCCTGTCATCAAGGAGGGAAGGAGGTCAGGGTACAGGAGCTGGCCCATAAGCAAAGAGGGGAGAATCATGAAATGATACAACAAAAAAGAAAGAAGAGCAGAGATAGATAGATAGATAAAGAAGACCGTAACTCTCCGCTTCTACACTCTCATCCTCAAGGCAGTATTTTAAAGAAAACATTTAAATCTCTCCTACCACACTTCAACTTTTGCTTTAAGACTGCTCTCTGTCAAGATATATCTGAAATATCCCAAATTATGCTCCTGAGCTAGTGACAGCTCTCAGTGCCCTTTCTGACACATTCACCCTTTTTCTTCCATATACATCAACTATGAGGACCACTCAGTTTGAGTGCAGAGTGCCTTGCACAGTAATGCTCTGAACTAGAAATACCCCAGCTCCAGATACCCATCAGCTAGTTGCTGTGCTGCACTCTGCTTTTTGCTGGGGAATATAAGTGGAAGACAACAAACATTTCTACTTTTGTCTTTCTTTGTAGCTGACAACTCTGCAACTCCTTGCCAGGATGCTACAGGACAAGGCACTCTAGGCTCTCTTTAGTCATTCTAGACTAAATGACATTCCAGTAATTCCTGATTTCAAGAAATCAGAATTGCCATTAATCTTTTTTTCAAGAATTTTTCCCCCCTCTTTCTCCAGATTGCAGGCCTGGTTTTGATCCTGAGTATTAAAGATGTCAGTCAGAACTCATAACACACACCACCATTTTTGTTGTCTCTTAACAGGGGAAAAATTAGTAAAACTGTTGTCCACCAAGGTAAGAGAAAAAAAAAAGACAAAGAAAAAGAAATAAATAACTTTGCTTTGCACCACCTTGCCTTACCTCAAATATATTGGCAGGTTCATTGCTGTACTGATTGGAGATAATCTCTGACTGGTCACTGTACCACTTGAGTCCCCCCAGAAAGCTGTCTGTGTCTAGGTCGTTCACATCTAGTTCAGAGAGGTCAAGTTCTGGTAGATCTGGGCAAAGAGGCTGGTCTTCACCAACCAGAGCAGCACACTGCAGGAAACAGCAACACAGAAATAGTTTCATTAATTACCAGGAATCTATTAACTTTAATATCATGTGATAAGAATTAAGTCTCAATTAAGCTATGGCACAGGGTCATTAGAATTGACTTTGTTTTCTGGGAAAACCCCTGCTAAGCAAGACATCATTGTTAGCTCTAGGTAGGTATGCACGAGAAAGGGGTAAACAGGATTGTATAGACTTCATTCTCTACCTCACCTCTGTCCAGGGGCAACAACTTTCCTTCTCCCTATACTCTTTGATACCACCTGTGTTAAAAGCTTTATTTAATCCAACAGCAGAGGCCAAAGCATGGCCTTATTCTCCTGCTTCGTAGGAAACCAATGCAGGTAGAAGTTACAGATGAATACCTCTGGGCAAGGTCTGTCACCCATTTCCTGATGCATTCAGGTTGAAGAGGCACAGCCTGTTACAGCCTTAGCCCTGCAGGCTAGCACAAGCTGGAGATAGTCACACTTTCACTTCTACAGATCATCACCACAATCCTGGAGGTTAGTCATGATGGTGGCTACCATATGGGTATAAAAAAGAACAGGTCAGCGATGCTGCTGTGCTCTTTCCCCCAGTGCACTCGATGCACAGACCACAAGCCACTCAGTTACACACCAGGGTCCTGGCAAACAAATTGCATTCTGAAATACCCCTAGATTAACATTTGGGTGACAGGGATAGTTAGTTCACACAGCTTTTCACCTGTTTCATGTGAACACACAGTATCTGCAGTGAGGGAAACAAAGGGTCTTCATCCTCTGGCAGCCCCTGGCTCAGCAATCCTAATTTAGAGGGTCTGTGAAACATTTTGGTTGAGGTAGTAAACAAAGTTGGGTCTGCATGGATACTCTTCAAAAGTGCAAAATGTTTTTGTCTCCCTGACTTACAAAGGGAATAGTGATAAATACAAATAAACTGTGAATAAGTATCCTTTTGTATCCTAGTATGAAGCTAGATAAGATATTGACTGACCTACTAAGCAAGAAAAAAAAATAGTAACACACATCCACTTTAGCATGGCAATTGAAATGTTAAGAGTATCCACCAAAACCATTTCCTAATTATGGATAACACATAGTAACAGCTTGGAAATAGCAGAGTCCCATACTCAATGCTGCTCAATGAAGAAATTCCTTCTGCACTGTACCACCTACCATTGTAATTCACCTCCAAACATCCACGCTGATATGGGTATACTGCAAAACATATGTAAAGCTGCAAAGGCAGCAGGTGCTGAATGGTTAAAATGCATTTGAAGTCAACTGAATCTAAGGGCTTCCACCCTGACTATTTCTAGTGTTGTGTTACAGACAGCTAACAGCAGGTCCTTCTCAACTCCCATTCGTTGACTGGGTGGTTTGAATGATTTCCCAACCTCTACTTGGACTGAGGTAAATCCAGAAAGGGCCACTTTCTGAAGAGAGATGTCTGTAGGGCACTGACACAGTGTCCATGGATGTGAATTGCTCAATACTGGTTATGTCACTCTTGCAAGGACCGCCTTCTACAATAATGAAAGTGAGAGGTGCTGAAGGTGCATTTCATTGAGGTTTTTGTCTCTGGGAATCTCAGTGCAGCTGCAGTGAGCGGGCTGGATGCAGCAGTGCAGCCACAAGCAAAGATTTTGTCTCTTGGCACAATGACTTGGTGCAGCTGGTGTGAACTATAATTTACCAGACAACTTCTATGTCTATGAGGACACTATGAGATAACCACAGAATAGGCCAAGGGGCAAGGGAGCTGAGAGGCTGCAAATGAGGCTTTGAAATAGCAGTTGCTTTCCTTTCTATTATTTAAGGGGCTGTGGAACTTCAAGACGTCAAAACCTCACAAGTAATTTTCACTGCACACTATTTTTTATCATTACTTTGGTCATTTAAAAAAAACACACACAAAAAAAAAAAAAAAAAAAAAAAAAAAAAAAAGAGTTGTCTCTTTAGCGTGAGACACAACTTTCCAGCAGCAATCTTATAATGCAGAGATGACCTTTTTTTGATGCTTGGCCGAAATATCTGATCTCATTAAAGGATAATCCAGTTTTTGACTGAAAAGGTAGATTCTCAGTATCATTCTCAGATTTCTGTTGTAGAGGTCACTAGCTTATAACTGATGCTGTAG